GCAACTTGCCAACCTCCCACTGCATCCCCTGCCCACCACACCCAAGAACCACCGCTGGCTCAGCTGGGCATTGTCCTGTCCCAGGACACGGGCGCTGTTGTTGCCGCTGCCGGGCATTTGCTTTTAATGCCTATTAAGCCTAGCAATTAGTGAAGTATTGGTTTTTGAATTGGATGCATTCGGCAAAGGAAGCGTTTGTGAGAGGGGCTACCCTTTTGGTAGGACGGCCGACCGTGTTCTTGCACTAGGGTGCTATGATTTATAGCTCAAAATTATTGGAGTAGAGCAGGGGTAGCGGGGAATTTGGCGAGGGCTTCAAGTGCTTTAATTAACTAAAAATTAGTGCGAAAAAAAGAATAAATGTTACAAAATCAAACAAAAACTAACTTACTAAGCGAGAAATTTGAAGAAAAGATACGATAACAGAAATCTTCTGTAAAAGTCAGAAATTAATTTATTTGAATGCATAATCGTCCTTGACATCAGACGTACTGAATGTCCAGTGGCGTCGTCGCCAATGAATACTACAGGTACACCTCAAACCAGTGTATTCCTGATAAAGATTATCATCCGAGTCCACCTGATTATGATTATTTAAAAGAGTTGGGATTTTAAGTCTTATTCAAAGCTATATAATAACTAAGATCAGCACTTAGCTAATCCCCTTCCTTGGCCAAAGCCTAACTGAGGACTATGCTCCTAACCATCGATTCCTTAATCGCGAATATCGTACATAGATATATAGTATATATAGTACATTTCAAAGCTTCTTGATCAAATGCCGACAGTCAAGGTCTGCTCCATTCCAGCCAGCGACATGAGTAAATATCTCTCCCTTTCTTTCCCTTTATCGGCGCATCTGAGCATCCTGCTAAATGTATTAAAGAGTATTTATAGGAATGCATGTGGTGGATCTGTTAAAGTCGTTTTTAAGCCAGCTATTATAAGAACAACTATAAGCTAAAAGCAGAGAAAAACCCCAAAACTTTCAAAAAAAAAACCCACCCCCTCTCTTTTTTTTTTTTTAAAAAATATTAAAAAAAAAAAAATTTTTTATTTTTTTTTATAATTAAGTTAAACAGAGTGGTATTGGTGGTCAGAATGAAACGAGCTTAAACTAATTTCAGTTTTCAATGCACTTTCATTTCTCGATTAAAGGGTATCAATAAAAAAGTATATCACCCCCGAAACAGTTTCTACGTAGGAAAACTTTCTTCCGACTGCAGATATGCAAGCGTGGTATAATGGGAGCATACGATTCCGCAATGATTTCTGATTATGACTTTTAGCTCATTCAACAACAAAGTTCAGCTTTTCAATTACCCTTGTCTTCGACGTACTAAAAGCTACGGCCAATGCATTCCCTGCTGGATGCGATAACAATTAAAAGTTTCGCAGAATGGGAATAATTTCAAATTTGAAATAAGTTTTAGAAAAGGGTTCAAAAAGGTGAAAAGGGTGCAAGAGTCTATTGTTGGGGTTTGTATGTACCCACTTCTTTGAATTTTTCCGAATTTAATCATAACGAGTAACGGGTATATCCGAGTCGATTTGGATGGGCCATATGATCACTGAGTTCTCAGGAACTCTAAGAGCTAGAAAGACGGGAAAAGCATCAGGAGACACCTCTGCAGCTCACTTTAACGCCGACAAGTCACGAAAACTCTTTTTTGGTTGACCTTTAATATTCTTGTATTTGATATTGACCATTGGCTTACGATAACCTGTCGATCATTATTTCACATTTACTAGCAAATGTACATTGATTTCTTCAGAAGTTAGTATCAATGCCTTACATTTTTTGGTTAAGAGCGTGACGGATTCAGATTTGGAGCTGAAAACATGGATAGTCATTCGTTCATATATAGCAGCAGAAAAAGTTTCCTAGACACATCCGAGCCTATAAAGTTTAGATATCCATTAACATTCTTGCTCTTCTTGATCTGTCTATCTATCAGGCTCTATGTCGAATTGTCTTTTAATTTTGAAAGCTAAATGCATAAACCAAAAGAAGGATTCGTATTCGACAGCTATATATCTAGGTTCTAAAGGATTAATCAAATGTAAAATTATTTTTGTAGCAAACTGCATACGCTTTTTGATGGCAAAGGAAGAAAGGAAGATTCAAGCATCTGAAACTAAGAAACAACTCTCAACAACTCTTCAAATGTTTTGGGCCATTGAAGACTTCTTTGCTTTTTCGTTTTTTCACTATTCATGGCAATTGCCCCCACCCAGCCTTCTCCACAGCTCCTGATCTAAGCTCCACCCCCGTTGAGGGTCCCGCATCCTCCCGGGTTGCGTCTTCATTAAAAGTTGCTCCTGCCTGGCTCAGTTTTCAATTAAACAAAAGCGCCCCGGGTTATGCAATGCATTGATTTCATTTCAGTTTTCGTTGGCCTAATTGCAAATTAGCTTGGCGATTAAACAGCCCCATCCCCCATCATCTGCCACTGCATGCAACGCTATTCTGTTCCTCTCTCTTTTTCTCTCTTTTTCTCTTGCTCACTCGCACTGACGAGCGGAAATCGCTTGGCAAGCAATTAGAGAAGCTGTCAAAAAATTCGACAGACTGTTTTAAGGCCAAAGAACAAATGAAGCAACTTTCTATGTCAATTTGGCTCCCATCAAAATTCAAAACGATTTTTTAGTACTTTGTCAGCGGTTTAACTAGGCTGGGCGACTTCAAAAATCTATTTAAAAATGATTAAAGCTGCACTCTTACTGGGTGATATCTACAGTATTTATGGAATGAAGTAGGAAAGTTTAAGCTACCGATAACTTTCCAAGAACATATACCAAACGATTTAAGGTCAAGCAACCAAGTAAGAAAAGGATTGAAAAATCTAAATAATCTTAACGTAGCTGCCAAGCTGGCTTAATTAATAAAACACCGAACCGAGTTGCGAACGTAAAAACTCAGAGTTCCAATCAAGGTTGGAATCAACCTCATCCATAGCCATATCCTAAGTTAAAAGGAAAAGTGAGTGGGATGCGAAACCGATATGTTTCAATCAGAGTTTTCGTCGATCTGTGTGAAATTGCACCCCGCACGTGTCAGGTCGCTTTCCCTCGACTTAGTGCATTTGCAATTATGTTCAGAGACCGAAACCTAACGATGGGAAAACACAAATTGCACTGCAATTTAGGGGAAACTCTATTTCAATAAGACTCATCAGAGTTGTTCCCTGCGTGGGAAAAGGGCTGGTTGTGGTTGATGCCTCTACCTCTCACCACACTACAAGGGCGCCATTACTATATCCCTGATCTTGAGACGACGGCTTTCCAGGGGAGTGGTTACGGCTTTGAATTACTTTTGTGCTAAATTATAGCGACAAGCTTAACGAGGCCATATTCAATTTTGCATTCCTTTCATTTTCGCTAAAACAATTCGCATTGTATTTCATTTGTTTTTCGGGAAGGGTGGGGTGGGTGGCACTACGTTTGGCCTGGTCAGGGCCTTGTAGGTAGTTCAAATTTGTTTGTGCGTAAATTGAAATGCTTCGAAAGCGCATAAGCATTCCAATCAATTTGTTGGCAAATGAATTATGCATTGCAACTGCATCGTTTGGTTGAGGGCTACATGCGGGCAGACAGCAGAGGTAGCGAACGCATGAATTGACGAACTCGCAACTTCCCACAGTTAAAGCTGAAAGGTGCTGCCCCCGCAATTGGTATCGATGTGAGTAAGCGTTGCATTCCATTTCCATTTTGGCGCTGCTGAACAGGTCGGACATTAGAGGCAAGCTCATTTAGTGCGATCTATTATGGAGTTATGGAATGAGCCTTTCTCTAAACTCTTCTGAGTTTAAAATATTAATCATAAATACCCGTTACTCGTAGAGTAAAAGGGTATATTAGATTCGATGAATAGTATGAAACAGGTAGAAGGAAGCGATTCCGACCCTATAAAGTATGCCGCGGAAAACTTTGGCGTCCATAATATTATGTCTTCGTTTGATCTTGTATAACATATTTTGGTTAATATCTATCGATCTACCAAAAATGTTTCAAATCAGAAGATTATTTCGCCATTTATGAAGAAATTTAAGTTATAAGACCTCACATGGGCAGTGACGTCACTATCAGTTACTCAACATGCTTTCTCTGACAATAGGCGGCGCTTTCTGAATTTTGACTAGCAAAATGAATATTTTAAAATTGTGTAAAGCAGTAACGAGTAGCGTTTCTTCTTATTTTATTTATGACTTATTTGTTGGTCTGCACAGCAGCTTATTCGTAAACGAAAAGGGCATATTGAGTTTGACCCTATAGAGATACATATATTTTTATAAGAATCAATAGGCGAGAAGTATTAAAGCTGGGATCTCAAGACCTAGAAGAGCTAGAATTTAGCTTATCCTAGTCCTACAATGGCATTTGTAGAAGAAAGCAAAATGGCAATGTGGATAGCATGCACCAGCAGAACTTACTCGGCTGAAGTGTCATTTCATCGACCTGCTGAATTCGGATATCCAACCTTGCAACGTCTAGTTAAATCTTCCCTCTACCTTTTACTGCTGATCAGAAGACTCTACTATCGGTCTGTATTCTCAGTTCTGGAATTCAATGTTACGGAAAATACTCCAAGCTCGATTAAAAATAATGCTCGTCGAAGTGTTAGACAGTTTATCTGCTGTCGCCTCACTGCAGTAGGTTTCTCTGGAATTACAATTTTGTGATCAATCATTTCGGATTTATTACACTAACGAATAACGGTCTTTAAGTACAAATTTTGGAAAAATTAGAAGTGGGTAAACGTGATGAACTTAAGAGTACCTGTTAAACAGAGGGTTAATGCAGAGGGTCGCTATGCACGTCTTTAGCTCACTCCATAGTGGTAAAATAAAATCCATAATCTTTAAAAACAAAATATTTCACTCGTAAAAAGACATATTATTGCGAAAGCTAAAAGGCAGCAACAGCTGTTGACCAATAAAGTGAATATTAAAAATAAAAGACAAACCGAAAACCAGAAAAGTTATTTAAAATGCTGAATATTTTTATTCAAATGGGCGCTTTTAATTAAACAATCGATTAATTACGTTCGATATCAGGCTATACTTACCTAATAGCCCTTCTTTGAAACGTTGTCTTTCTTTTTTGAAAATAGGATGCGTTTTATTAATACTTATCTCTTTTTCCACATTCCAGCTAAATAAAGTATTAACTGGCCAAAAACGCCAGAAAAATAATTAAGAGAATTAATTTATTACATTTTAGGAAGTACAAGAATCGAAGAAATGCACCATAACATTATTAAATATTTCGAAAGACTACTCTTTTGACCCAAAAAACTATCAAAATAATCACTAAAAAATTTCCAATTTTGTTTCCAAGTCATTTATTGAAAATAAATGTATTTTTAAAGCTGCATATTAATAGTTCCAGAATCGGTCTAATGATAGATAGATATTAGGGCCATTATTAGATCAAATCAAGTGGTTTAAAATAAACAATAAGCATAATTGCCTTTAGTTTAAATAAGCTGCCAAGGAACATGTTATTTTTTTAAAGCTGCATAAAGTATATCTCTGTATGGTTTCAGCGGTCTTTTTATTCGTCACAAATAGACAAATGGGAGTATGTAATCAGTGGCTTACCAAAGCTAAACTTACTTCTTACTTATTACTTCTCACATCATAATCAGACTCGATACCCTACAGAGTGGGAATCAGCATCAAGCTAATCTCCAAGCTACTGACGTTTTTTGTTGAGCTTACGTTTTGGATTGTCCTGAGACGTTTTAAAGTGGGTTCTAAGGGCGATTCCAAACATTCTGACCAACATTTTAATGGCAAAGCAGAAAGAAACAATGGTTCCTAGAACGCAGGCATATACATCGAGGTTATTAGCTGTTATGAAGGTCATGTGCACCACAGGACTCTGCATGTGCGGGGCTCCGTTGTATCGGATCACATATTCCACCCAGTATATCAGCGTCTGTCGGACACTCAGTGGGCGATCGCGATAGAGGGTGGAAAACGACTGTACAGCAGTGGCATACTTCGGATTCTCGAGCACCTCTTGAATGCCTTGAAGGAAGCTGTCTTCTTCCAGAGTAAGGAGGCTTTGCTTCAGTCCAAAGCCCTGCTGCACCATGACATCGGCATTGTTCGGCTGGTCTCCGAATACGGGTAGGGCCAGCATGGGCTTGCCATGGTACTGAGCTTCGGTGACTCCGCCCTTTCCCGCATGGGTGATGAAAAGCGTGATGTTCTGGTGTGCTAGAATGTCGTCCTGGGGTAGCCACTTTAAATAGAGTATGTTTTCCGACTCTCCAGGGGTGTTCTCCAGGTCATCCCACTTCCAAATCACTTTCTGCTTCAGCTTCGAGATAACGTTAAACATTTTCTGCACCGTTTCGGGCTGTAGGTGGGCCTTCTTCAGGTTGGACCCCAAGCTGAGAAGTATTGCTCCGTGTGGGGATTCTCTGAGGAACTCATCAATGTTTTGAGGTAGAACATCGGGTTTATCCTTGACTTGTATTCCTCCGACCTCAATTACAGCCGGTACGTTCGGCCTGATAGGTCCCTCGCTTATGCCGTGGGAAGCGAAGAAGACAAGTGAAATGTTTTTGGTCAAGTCACCATAGCTGGGAAGAGTAGGATCGTCTCCATAGATCTCCCTATAAAAGTTCGGCGAATTAGACACTTGGACCGAACGAAAAGTTTTGAACCAACCTGTACGTCCTTGCATTTCTGTACTCAATCACGAACATGAACAATCGCTGTCCCCAATTCCCTAAGAGATTTATGACACGCCTTGCAAAGCTCATGGGTTCGCCCTGTTTGGCAGTCAAATGCATTGACGGCACATAGGAAACTTCCCAGGGGTTTCCCAGGACGTCGCCCAAGAGGGATGGCGGATTCGAGAGTGCAACCACCAGAGGAACCTTCAGTTTGTAGGCCAAGGCCAGCTGGAAACTGTTCATGAAGTAGCCCACGATGACCAGATCGAACCTGTTGTCGGGGTGCTCATACAGATTTCTGACAACCTGATGCTTCATAACGCTGCCCATCTTGGAGAACGCCTCGCTCATCTGCCTGACCGATCGAAACATAGAGGCGTATGCGTTGCTATTGTCGGTCTTGGTTAAGCTGGCAACAACGGAATTAAATGCCTGGAGATCATCCTCTTCTAGGGGCACAAGGATGTGGTTGATATCTTTCAGTGGCGACGGAGGTTTTATCACCGTCACAACAGTCACGTTGTGCCCTCTCTCCGCCAGAATTCGGGCCATCGACATCTGAATTACCAAGTGCGATGGACTCAGACTGGTGAATAGGCCAAGAATATTAGATCCATGTGCTGCCGCAATCAGAGCCACAATCTGGAGGGCAAAGCAATTCCATTTTCCACCCATCTGACCGCGACGTCGATCGGAAGTAAACTGGTTCATTGGGCCAATAGGTCTTGACTTAATCAGCATGAAAATAACTGATAAGTCTTATCAAACAGGTTGTCAGACCCTTGAATACCCCTTACTGAATAGTTTTTATTAGGTAGATTGGACCTATGAAGTTCTCGTCGAATATATGCACAATAGTTTTAGAGCATGTGGAATCTATAAATGAATGCGAATATTATTAATGTTATGCTCTCTTTAGTTTGTCTAGATCTATGTAGATACTCACCAAACTTGAGTCTGATAAGGAATAATATTTCCTAGTAGGTCTGACTGGCAAACAGGTAATTGAGTTGGTTAATGCATATGGGCCAATTTCAGGTGACTCAGCAGTCTTTAATAGTCGTGCCTGTTGTGCTCGGTTTCCCCGATAACAAGATTCACGATGAAATGCTTAGTCTAATGTGAACACCTGCTGATAGTGGCCATTAACAGAGTAAAATGTTGGTAATCAGTTAGCTTCGATTTCACATTTTAATAATATTTGTGTAATTTTTGACATTTAAAATATATAACCGCAGTATGATAGGTCATTTAATACGATATTAATGAACGTTAGCAAAGTAAACTCTTTCATATTTCAGAAACCAGCAAAATGAGCAATTTAGGTCTTAAAGATTGCTTTCTCTATAGAACCCGAGTGGGTAAAACTGATTTATCAATAAGAATCATTTTATATTTCGTTCGAGGCACGCCATTAATTCATTCGATTATCTGCCGGCCAAACAAAAACTAATGGTTGCCATGTGCGTGACGAGGGCAATGGGTGGGATCCAGGGGGCTCTTGTGCGCACTTTGGTACACACTTAATCGTCGGTTTGCCCTGCCAATTCATAATTAACACGCACCCTCGAAGGAAGGCAGGAAGAAGGCGCCTTCTCACGGAAATAAATATTTATTGGGTCCGCAGTTGGGCCACCAAGTCGTCGCTGCACTACAAACCTTGTATCGCAATGGGCATTCCACCGATCTGAAACCTTAATGATGGACAGTTGATTTGGTTATTTCATCTGTTCTCGAATATCCATATGGTAAGCTATAAAGCTATAAGCTATCCTTTGCGCTGTATGTGCCGCTTAGCTTATACAACTAGGCAAAATTTAATGAAGAAAACGCCGGTTACCAAATGTCAAATATTTGACTAACCCCATTAGAACAACCCCTCGCGCGGCTCTTGGAGTCCCAACTCATCCTCCGAGTGACCCATATGCGAGGTCTGGAGTCGTTCGCCCACGGAATAATTCATTATGATTTTCGCTCATTAGCCCATGGATCCATGTGGCCGTTAGTAAGCTCGCAACAACTTTTCCCTCGGTTCTCGGCAAGGACCAACAAAAAGGGAAAACACTTTTCATAATTAAGCATTGTAATTTGTGTTTGCTTCGTTTGCCGAAGTCTCCGCTTCAATACCACTTTCCCTCTCCACATCATTTTCCTTTGACCCTTTCCTAACAGACTTTTCTGCGTTCTCTGTCCTTGATAAACATATGATTGCTTTTGAATTGCGGCTGACCCTTACTTTCCCCTCACTTTCCCTACTCATATTTCATTTACCGAACTCAAGCTGACGTATGAAGGGGATGGATCGATTGGCATTGCCCATTATGACTTGTTTTAATTTAGGCACCGAATTTATCTTCTCGGAGTGTTTGAGTGCTCAAGCTTGTCAGCTTGAAGTGCTAGAGTTGAGGAATTTTCAATTAGTGCAACCCAAAAATGTCAGCTCTCCGTTCTCCCACCCTCACGGACCTTGTATAAATGGAATTTCCATAATTATGCTGAGCTGCCAGGAAGTTGTTGAATTTACGTTAATGTTGTAGTAAATTCAATTAGAAAACCAGTTCTTAGCCGGCCGTGTCATATCAAAAATGCGCTTGCTCCTAATCTCACTCCTCACCCTGCTATGATAGACCTCCTCTTCTAGCCCCTGAAGAACACTGGCATTAGAGTGTAACTACTAAATGTGAATATGGACCGAAATGTCTATAATTTCTAGGTACTACATACTATGTACAGGCTGATCCCCCCTCTGCTGCTGCTCCTGCCCTTCTCTGAGCATTAGTTATTACTACCAACTATAATTTAAAATAAATGCCAAAGTAGCCGAGGTCTAAACCGCAGGACCTCAAGCCTCTCAGCCCAGAGCTGGCTATTAAGCCCACCCCGAAAAGGCATCCAAAAACAAGCTTGCACTCCTTCGTTCTCCCCCACTGCTGCTGCTGTTGGCTTTATAATAAATTTATAAATGAAAATATGAAAAATGGTCGCTGCGTGTTTTTGCCAAACTAAGCAGCAAAAAACCAGGAGCGAACCTCGAAAAATGCTCCATAAGGGCAGAGAAAGCCACACAGCAAAAGGAGTAAGGAAAGCCGTTGAGTTAGTACTGCAATGGGGTTGGTGTATAGGTCATCGGTGTGCCACGGTCGATACTTAAAGTTTGTTAAAGCAGCGGAAAGCTGGCGCAATGTGTTGTTATTCTAATGCATTTCGTTTTAAAAACGCATTGGCATTGGAATATCGAGTTCTTAGTGGATTACAAGCTCCTCTTTACTCTATGTCAGTCAAGCTACCAGGAAATATGCTTCTGACATTTCAACTTCCAGGTCCAGAATACCCAACTCGGCGAGTTTACTGTACTGGTGACCCGACGCCTACCACCACCTACAATTTCATGGATACAAGGTATACCGAAAATACGGAAAAATATACCAAGCGGGAGGAGAGGGGATAAAAATGAAATAAACTTTCACTACGTAAAGAGAGGGCGGGCGAGGAAGTGAACGAGAAAAGAGCAAATGGCCGTGGGCATCAACAGAACAAACAAACACATTCCCTGCGCATGGTCACCCTCACCACCACAAGCGCAGTTTTGATTAGATGTTGCCATTGTGTGTTTGTACGAACATATTATTTTTCTATTTTATGGATGATGTTGTGAATTTTGCAGTAAAAGTCACGGCTGAGGGGCATTCTACCATGTATCAGGCAGCGCCTGCAACTTTATTAAAATTACGATTCCAATCCCATTCAAGTCCAATGTGCAATTTACAGATTAATTATTTCATCTTGACCACAGCTTCTTCAATAATTGTAAAAATTATGGTTTCTTATTCTTACGACTGACGACTTACTCCTCTCTAAGCCAAACTGCTGGATGTAGAAGATAGTTAACGCGTTATTTTAATGTTGTTATTTGAAGCAATTTTATTGGAACTTTCGCATTCTGAGAACTGCTTTCCATTTGAATATTGATGTTTGGATAACACTCTTTGGCTTTTCCGTTTATCTGTGCAATATAATTGGGCGGATCAGTTTTCCGCATTAAGGTCGGTTGGAGCACTGGTCTTCTACTTAAGACTGGTTCGACTTAAAGTGTTGCACAAGGTGGACACTTTCCTCCCCGTTTCCACTTAGAAACATGGCTATAAAATGCAAGAGAGTGTAAAAACTTTCCCCATTTTCTTTCCTAACTTTCCGTTGCATTTGCACAGAGCAAAATGTCTTTTTGCCAACTAGTCAACGGTGCATATAACTCAACAGTGTCTCCCCTGAAGCCGCTCGCTTCCCCTCTGGCTCCATCTATCTTGGCAGCACCCTCTGGTGGTAACAGCTGCAACTGTGCTGGACTAAGCTGAGCGTAAAAATAGAAAAATTTGCATATCCTGTGACCCACTTATAATCATTTTTCATACAACGCTTGCTAGACAACAACAGCGGCTTAGCACGGCCAGTAAAGCGATATTAGCCAAGAAGGCTGCTATAAAATGAGGTTATGTTTGCTCCCGGGCAGCCCCAAGCCCCTGGGCCCCAACCTCCTCGAGCCAACCGCACACAGCATCATTTGCATAAATTGTGCATGTCAAGGTGTGGGTAACCGAAAGACAAATAAAGTTACTTGCCGCGCAAGGAGAGAAACAGATGAGGAGTGTATTTTCCAATTTCCCATAAACTTAGCTCGAGTTATGGAGTTCTATTTCGGTCCTCATTAGCGCAGGCACAAACTGTCAGAGTAATTAATAATAAAAGAAGAAGGCCACGGTAAAAATAATTTAGGGAAGGGATACTAGATATTTTTATCGAGTACACATGCCATATTATTACGTATGGCATTCAAATGCATACATAAAATGCTGGTTAGCGAGCAACAGTGGTATTCAAACTAATCACACACTTACTGCTACGTTGTTATCCTTATCAAAACAATGTACTTATTCGTACGTTTATTTATTTGAGGCGGCGAAAACATGGCCGGCCCATTGAATTGGGTCAACAACTTTAGCAGCCCCTGCAAATAAGCAGCTTTGATCAAATTTATTTTGGCCAAAACCAAGCATCATGTGCACATAACATTTGCGCAATTCACTGCAGGTTGCTCATGCTTCACTTTGCTTTTGCTGTTTGTTTTTGCCTTTATGCAGATTTGCACCATTTTTCATTGCAGGACTCGCACAAAGCAAGTTCTGTGAAGCGTCAAAATGCATTCAAATATTCTAATCAAGTTTTCGCCCCCTTCGATGCCAGTGCCATTCTTCATAAATATTTTAAATGCCAAACAAAAGAGTTACATAAACCCTAGTGTTTTTCTCAAAATATGGATACACACTTGGTCCTTTAATAAATGTCCCATCATTAAGCCAAAAAGGGGTCAGAGGAAAAAAACGTTATACAAACAGATTGATGCCTGTTATGACAGCGATAATTTAAATCGTAAATCAGAATCCTAAATATAATAAATATATATATATACCGTAGTAGTGGTAATACTAAAAATAGCAAATGGGTTTTTTTTATATATTCTTGATCAGGATCAATAGCGAAGTCGATTGAGCCATGTCCGTCTGTCCGTCCGTCCGTCCGACCGTCCGTATGAACGCCGAGATCTCAGGAACTATAGCAGATACAATATTGAGATTAAGCATAAAGATTCTTGAGGTCCCGGGACAGCGCAAGTTTATTTCAGCATCCTGCCA